CGCAGCCATCAAAAACGATGAGTTAACGTCCTTTGTAGGGACATGGATGAACCTGGAAACCATCATTCTCAGCAAACTTACACAAGAGCAGAAAATCAAACACCGTATATTCTCACTCATAGGCGGGTGTTGAACAATGAGAACACATGGACACAGGGAGGGGAGCACTACACACTGGGGTCCGTTGGGGGGGAATGGGGGAGGGGCGGGGGGGTGGGGAGGTGGGAAGAGATAGCATGGGGAGAAATGACAGATACAGGTGAGGGGACAGAAGGCAGCAAAGCACACTGCCATGTGTGTACCTATGCAACAATCTTGCATGTTCTTCACATGTACCCCCAAACCTAAAATGCAATAAAAAAAAAAACTAGCAAATCAAATATAGTCAGTATTTCTTTTTGGTAGTAACTAAGCAGACTTTATCTCAGGAATGTAATGACCATTAAATATAAGAAATTCTAACAATGAAATACATTATCACAATAAAAGATGAAACTATCCCAAAATAATACAAAATAAGCTTTTGATAAAATTTAGCATTCACGATAAACACTCAGAAATATAAAAAATATGGGACAATAATTGTCTCAATAAAGACTATAAAAAACATCAAACTTAATGGTGAAATTAGAAGCATTTTTATTAAATTCAGAACAAGTAAGTCTACCTACTCCTAAAATAGAGGTTCTGTCCAAAGCAATGGACAATAAACAATTGAAAACATAATAACTGTAAAGAAAATGATACTTATTCATATATATAGGTGTGTGTGTATGTATGTGTGTCTCTGTGTGTGTTATATATGGATATATATACACACACACAGAGTTGATTGTATTAGCTACAAACTATTAGAATGAAAATCAATACCAATATACTTAGAGATTAAACAAAACACTTTTAAATAACACGTAAGTCAAAATATCAACTAAATGGAAATGAAAACACAACACTAAAATTTGTGGAATGTAGCACAAACAGTGCTAGAGGAAAATGTATAGCTTTGAATGTATGTATTAGATATGAGGGATGATCTAAAATAAATGATCTAAGCTTCCACCTTAGAAAACTAGAAAAAGACCAGCAAATTTAATTCGAGTTAAGTAGAAAAAAAAAAATAAAAATCAGAGCAGAAATCAGTAAAATTGAAAACAGTGAATCAAAGTAAAACAGATCAATGACACCAAAAGCTGGTTCTTTGTAAAGATAAATAAAATCAATAAACCTTTAACCAGCTAAGAAAAAAAGAGAGATGATTCAAGTTAATAATAGCAAAAGTGAAATAGAAGACGTCAGTATAGACACCATAAACAATAAAAGGATAACAAAGAAATACTATGAACCACTCTATGACCATAAATTTGATAGCGTGGATAAAATGGCTTGAAAGACACAATATGATGAAACTTACATGAGAAGAATTAGACAATGTGAATATGCCTACATCTATTAACAAAATTCTATCAATAATTAAGAACATTCCCAAACAGAAAGTATCAGACCCAGAGGGATTCACTGGTGAATTCTATGAAGGACTGAAGGAAGAAATTATGTCAACTATCTACAATCTCTTTGAGATGACAGAAACAAAAGGAATACATCCTGCATTATCTTCAGCATTCTCTAAATACTAAATCTGGACAAAGATATCACAAGAAAACAGTATCTCTCATGAACATGGAGGCCAAAATCCTCAACAAAATATTATCAAAGTTGAATCTAACAATGTATAAAACAAATTATATGCCATGAACAAGTGGAATGTATCCCAGGCATGCAAGGCTGTTTGAACATATGAAAATTAATCAATGTAATTCATTGTACCAACAAGCTAAAGAAGAAAATTCACATGAGCATACAAATAGACAGCAGAAATGCATTCAACAAAATCCAACACGCATTCATGATTAAAATCTCTCAGCAAATTGGGAATAGAAGAGAACTTACTCAACTTGTAAAGAACATCTACAAAAACCTATAGCTCACATGATACTTACTGATGAGACCCTAGAACTGTTCCTGCTAAGACCAGGAATAAGGCAAGCATGTTAGTCCCACCATTGCTTTTTAATATTATATTAAATGTCGTATCTAATGCAGTAACGCAAAGAAAATAAGAGGTGTATGAATTAGCAAGGAAAATATAAAATTGTCCATTTTTCAAATAACATGATCATACATGTAGAAAATATGAAGAAACTGAGCAAAAAACTGGGACTAACTATAGCAAGGTTGCAGAACACAAAGTTAATGTAAAAAAGTCAAAAGCTTTCCTGTATACTTGCAATGTACAAATGGAATTTGAAATTAAAAATACAATACCATCTACATCAGCATTCCTCAAAATCAAATACTTAGTTATAATTCTTACTCTCTCTATATATATACATGTACATATATATAAGATCTAAGTGAGAAAAACTATAAAAACATGATGAAAGAAATCCAACAACTAAATACATGAAAAAACATTCAGTTTCATGGATAGGAGATCCAATAAAGGTTGAACATCCCTAGTCCCAAAATCCATAATCCAAAATGTTTCAGAACTGGAGACATTCTGAGTACCCATCAACATGACGGTCAAAGAAAATGCTCCTTGGAGCATTCTGGATTTTGTATTTTTGGATTAGAAATGCTCAATCAGTAAGTATAATGCAAATATTCTAAAATCAGAAAAAATTAAAAATCCAAAGCACTTTTGGTCCCAAGCATCTTGGAAAAGAGATAATCAACCTTTATTACCAAGAGTTCTTCCGAAATTGTTATGTAGATCCAATGCAATCCTAAGCAAAATAGCAGCAAGTTATTTTGTGGATATCAGCAAACTAATTTTAAAGTTTTTATGGAAACAAAGACTCAGAATACCAACACAGTATTAAAAATGAACAAAGGTGGAGGACGGACACTTCTCAGCTTCAAGACAAACTATAAATCAAAATGGCATATTATTGGCAAAAGAACAGACAAATAGATCAATGAAAAAGAATAGAGAGCTCGAAAGTGACCCACATAAACACAACCAACTAATTTGTGAAAAAAACAAAGGCAATAAAATGGAGAAGTCAGTCTTTTTAACAAATGTTTTTTGGCTATAAAGAGGATACAATTCAGTATTTGAAACAAAGCAACTATTAAATAAGTTTGTATTTAGAATCACTGAATTTCAAAGTTTCAAGCTATCTTACAGGTCATCCTGAACAGTTGACCCCAACTTTTTTGGCACCAGGGACTGTTTTTGTGGAAGACAATTTTTCCATGGACCCAGGGTGTGGTGAATGGATTTGGTATGATTCAAGCATATTACATTTACTGTGCACTTTATTTCTATTATCATTACATTGTCATATATAATGAAATCATTATATGACTCATCATAATGTAGAATCAGTGGGAGCCCTGAGCTTGTTTTCCCGCTACTTGATGATAGCTTCTGCGGGTGATGGGAGGCAGTGACAGATCATCAGGCATTAGATTCTCATAAGGAACATGCAACCTAGATCCCTCACATGTGCAGTTCACAAGAGGATTTATTCTCCTATGAGAATGTAATGCTGCTGCTACTCTGACAGGAGGTGGTGCTCAGGCGGTAAAGCGAGTAATGGAGAGTGGCCATAAATACATATAAAGCTTTGCTGGCTTGCCTGCCACTCACTGCCTGCTGTGTGGTCTGGTTCCTGTGCCTGGTACTGATCTGTGTCCTAGGGGTTGGGGATCCCTGATCTAGAACAACATTTGCTGACACATGAGTTCCCTCACCAAAATTCAATAAATGGTAATATCTTCAGCTGAATACTTCTAATGTTTTCTTCTGGGCAGGCAGAAGAAAACTACTACTTTTGGAAAACTATAATACAAATATTTATTTATAAATGAGGGTTCTTATTCTTTTATCTCTCAGGGTATTTTAGAAATGTCTTATGATCTTTCACATATATATTCATTTAGCTGTTTCCCTCTCTATCATCTATATATCTGGAGGCAGAGATTATAATTGTTGAAAATGCTTTGTATTCAATCATAAGCAGTGTCATGTTTATAAGTGACCTTAATATAATTTGATCATGACGGAAATATGTAAAAAAAATGAATGTACTCATATATCTGAAGACAAAAATCATAGAAAGCACCATATCTGAAAAACAATACATACATATTAACTGAAATTCAATTTCATGGAAATAATTATGACACTATGATAATATTAGAACATTTGAAACATATGACTTATTATAACTGAAAACTTTATTGACCATATTTATAAATTGTGCTTAATAAGAATGACAATATTGAAACAGCTACACAGCATAATTTTAAAAATGCTGTTTCTTCTGTCAACCAACAATAAGTTCTTGCTCTACTAACAACTTTTTCTACTTTTTAAAATCTTTCTTTGCTTCTATAATCTCTCACTATATAACCAATTGATATATAAACAGATACTATAATTGTTTACAAAAAAACCCCAAAACTTGCTACCTGGAGGAATATGTCAAAACAATCTTCCTAACTCTATAACCAAATAGATGTAAGAGTTTTCGGGAATATTTCCATGAATCCAATCATTTGTTAGAAAATAACAACATTAGGCCAGGAGCAGGGGCTCATGCCTGTAATCCCAGAAATTTAGGAGGCTGAGGCAGGCAGATCACCTGAGGTTGGGAGTTCGAGACAAACCTGACCAATATGAAGAAGCCCTGTCTCTACTAAAAATACAAAATCAGTGTGGTGGTGCATGTCTGTAATCCCAGCTACTCAGGAGGCTGAGACATGAGAATTACTTGAACCCCTGAGGTGGAGGTTGTGGTGAGCAAAGATCCTGCCATTGCACTACAGCCTGGGCAACAAGAGTGAAAATCCATCTCAAAAAAAAAAAAAAGGAAATAGTGACATTAAAAGGAAGTAAATGACATCATTAAGAGCAATAATAATACTAGGGTATATTAATTTTAATATCCATCTCCTTTTAGAGTTTGTAAATGAAATCTGCAAATACATACCAGATCTGTCTTTGGAGGATCTGGACACTCAGAAGAGAAATAAGGAGCTGAACTTCTGACTCCACTGCTGTCAGAAGTTGGCTTTGGAGGCTGAGCATGCTGTCTGTAAGTAGCACTTTTAGGAGTCCAACAAAACAGGTTGATTGATTCTCTTACACAGCGTTCAATGTCAATTTCTAGACAGAAATGTTTTAAAAAAGCAAATGTATAGAATTTAGATTGCTTTTATAATGTAATGCTTTTATAATATAAATAATATTTTATAATAACCACCATCTCTCCTAAATAAATATATCTAAATATGGCTAAGATAATAAGTTATTAGAAAAAAAGTAAAAAAACATTGTAGATATTAATCAGCATTTCTATGACTGGATTGATGGGGATATTTAGTATAATCTGCTTATATACATTTGTAAATGTATCTACTTGTATTTTCATGTGTGCCTTTAACTTGGAATTATCTACATATATATATATATAAATCTACATTATATAATGTAGATAATTATATATATATATATATAAATCTGCATTATATATATGTAGATAATTCCAAGTTAAATATATATATATAAATATATATAGATATATTTGTAGATTTCAGAGTATCATTATTTAAATGCCAGAGAATACAACACATCTCCTTAATTAAATATCTGCCCAATTTATGTTGATAATGTTTCTACTTTTCCAATGTAAAATGAAAGTTAGTGGGGAGAATAGAATTTGGGAATAGGCAGACAAAAGATTCAGTGGTTGACTATTGATTCAGCATGAATTCTAGTAAAAGGAACTGAAAGTTTTACTGCCATTAAAGAATATATAAAATATTAGGAAAAAATCTTTCAGAATCTCAATTCAACATTTCTCAATTCTTTTCTTGTTTTTTTCCTTTTTTGAGACAGAGTATCATTCTGTCTTCCAAGCTGGAAGGCAGTGGTGCAATCGCGGCTCACTGCAACCTTGGCCTCCCAGGTTCAAGCAATTCTTCTTGTGCCTCAGCCTCCCTAGTAGCTGGGATTACAGGCCTGTGCCACAACGCCCAGCTAATTTTTTGTATTTTGTAGAGATGGGTTTCTGCCTGTGTTGCCCAGGCTGTTCTTGAATTCCTGAGCTCAGGCAATTTTCCTGCCTCAGCCTTCCAAAGTTCTAGGATTATAGGCATCAGCCACTGCACCCAACCAGCATTCCTCAATTTTTAAATAATTTCCTGAGTTAAATGAAGATTTTAAAGTAAAGTTTCATCAAATAAGGTTTAAATGCACTTGATTAAAAGATAAAAGAGAAACACTTTCATATTAGATTTCCTTTTATTTCTCATGTTTGAAATTTAAGCACCTTTAATGCAGAGGTAATGTACATAGAAATGTTACTACAACTCTGTGTTGTTTGTTTTGCTAAGACTATCTCTTTAGGAGGCCAACATTCCTTATGAGAAGTTAGCCATTTCTCTACGGCGAAAGTGAAGAGATCACAGAAAGACAGGAGAAATTCAAGAAGTTGACTGTGATGAAGGAGTTTAGCATTGAATAGTTTTTCTATATCCCTAAAAGTAGCAAATGACATATATTCTCATTTCCTCTATAAAAGTCCAAGTGTCAGCTCAGGCAGGCAATGGAGAAAAATATATTACATGTCACAAAGTGGTAAGTTCTTTTTTCCTCCCCCTCTTTTTGAAATGAAGGACTTTTAAGAGGGAAAGGAGATAGGCATTAAGTAAATTCTGTGGATGGTGCATGAGTAATCATTTAGAGTTATCTGCTCTGGTAAGGTAGAGAAATTTGGAAGAGGGGAAAGGAAGATAACACAGCATCTATTATATGACCGGTATTATAAACTTTCACTTAATCCATCTGGTTCTTACAGTGATTATTGAAGACAAGTATTGTAATTCTTCTTTCCACCCTTTGTATCTGCTAAAGATAAAGAAACTAAGACATAAGAAAGTGATTTGTTAAATTTGTTACTATGGGTAGAAGTCTGAAGTTACTATAAGATTATAAGGCATCTTTTGTTATTTCCTAATGAACTTAGATTTGGAATATGATCAGACAGTCTGGTAAGACCAGTTATGCAATTAGGCATTCCTCAGTGGTGTTTGCCAAATTCACAGCTCATTACTTCCATGGCTACAACAAGAGGTCAGATTTCATCACCTCATATACTATTCCTAATATAAAAACTATAAAACAGAGTGAAACAAGCTTTGCGTTAGGGGCCTATTTATTTGGGCAATGGAAAATATAGTGGTCTGTAACAATATCAACTTGATATTCCACAAAGAAAATACAAACACAAACTAGAAAAAAAAAATCAAAGTTTAAGACAGGTTCCTCTAGTCTGCTTAAGAAGGAAGATATAGCACTATTAGTTTTAGAAAACTTTGAATTCAAATAGTTAAGATAAAAACTAGGCAGCTAATGAGAGAAAATAACCATCCAAAGTCTGTCTACTTAACACAGGTTAATCTCCAAAGAAAAGAGTTTCAGTCTATAAGGTATTGCATTTGCAGGGCCCAAATCAATTTTACACATCTGTCACCAGAAAAAGGCTGAAGGCGAGTCAGTGATCCAGAACAAAGGTTGTGTAGTGCAGTCCTTAAATCACTGGCAATGGAAAAGTCATTTGTATCTGCTTCCAAGCCATCCCACCAACACCATACAAGATTTACAGTGAATCTTGATGATGTACTGGCATCAATCCCAATTGTACCGATTGTCAGTTCTGACAGATACCTCATTTTCCATTCACTTGACTCATGTCACCTCTCATATCAAAATCCTTCCAAAGCACATTATCATAATCAAAATAAAATGCAAAAGTACTTTGTAAACTGTACATTAAAATGCACAAATATTCCTACAAAGTAATCTCTCATCACATGGCACTACTGTTTTTTAACCTTGCATTCTAATTATTGAGACAGTGCATTGTGAATAAAACATAGATTATGGTTTCCCAGGTTTGCATTAAAGCTCCATGAGGTATTTTATAACTCTGAGTAAAACAACTTCTCTAAATATATTAATTTCTTCATTGGCACCCATTAGTATTATATCTTTCAGAAATACTATTTTCAATATGATAAAACACAATCGTTTGGGCAAGGACAAATGGAAAAGACAGCTTTCCTGAGCCCTCTCTTCTCTCATTTCAATGGCTATGAATTGCTTCTGAGATTTATTGAATAGCTATTGTCCTTCTCTTTACCATTATCTACTTCTCTTCAGCTACCCCCTATATTTGATTCCTAGCCTTACTCCTAAGTAAGACATTGTTTACCACTCTTTATTATTTAGTTCTCATTCTGATGAAATACATTATCCAGCAGCTACAAAGAAACAGTACATGGGAGGCAAATTATTTTAAAACCTTCAAAGAATATCATTAATCTGTCCTTGAATGACAATTTGACCAAGTATAGCATTCCAGGGTTGAATTTTTTCCTTTAGAGTTATTAATGATATAGCTCCAATGTCTTCTGCTGAGAAGTCTGATAAGATTATTATTTAAGATTATTTGTAAATGGTTTTCTGTTTCTCTGTTAACTTTTAAGATCCCTGTATTATGAAATTTCATGGTGATATACTTAAGCATATACTTCATTGTCCTGGGCATTTGGTGGACCCCTGAATAATCCTTCAGTTACAGAAAAAGTACGTTTTTGATGTACATGATAATTTCAGTTTCTTTTTAAATCTTCTATTCTATAATGAAAAGTCTTGAACTTCCTGAATTTAATTTCTAATAATTTTGTATTTTTGTTCTTACTTTCCATGTGTATTTTTGTTTCATACTCTGTGAGAGTTCCTAAATTTTATCATCTTACATTTTCATTACAAACCTCATTGCATTCCTATATCAATTTCAATTTCCAGGCCAGGCACGGTGGCTCATGCCTGTAATCCTAGCACTTTTGGAGGCCAAGGCAGGTGAATCACTTGAGGCCAGGAGTTTGAGAAGAGCCTGGCCAACAAGGTGAAACCTTGTCTCTACTAAACAAAAATACAAAAATTAGCTGAGTGTGGTAGAGTGCACCTGCAATCCCAACTACTCGGAAAAAGACTAAAAAAAAAAAAAAAAAAAAAAAAAATTCAATTTCCAGATTTTCAATGAAAAATATTCTTTGTTGTTATTGGTTTTTCAGTTACATTTTCCCATAGTTATCTTTCTGAATATATTCTTGTTTTCAGTTTGTACTCTTCTATGTCTTAATTGGAAGCTTTCCTTACAGACTTTGTGATCTTGGATTCTATATATTTACAAGCACAGCACCAAAAATCCGATTGGAAGTTTTTTTTTTTTTTTTTATGTGGGCAGGGCTTAGTGACGGGTAGATTCACTACGGAGTAATTTGGGGATATAGTTATTTTGTTAGAAGGCTCCTAAGTAAGAAATTTCTCCTTCTGGTAACACTGAGTTTCTCCAGATAACTCCCGGATCTTCTAAGCTCATCCCTGTCAGCCTTCCGAGATATGACCATGGGAGGGGCCTGTATAACTATATACATTCAAGCACCTGCTCTCTGCTATGCCTACTGACTTTGAGTCTCAAGACTCTGTGACTCTATTACTCCAAAGAATACCTCTCTATATTTCCCATTAAAATTGTCATTTTTGTAAAATATGACAAAGTAAAAATATTTCAATCTGAACAATGAAGAACGGATTTAAGGGAGCACCAAGATGGCTGAGAGGAGGCAACATTAGAATGCAGCTAGCTCCCAGCTCATGAGACGCAGAGGGCTAGAGGACTTCATGATTGCAAGCAAGGTTTTGGTGGGTACCTGGTAGGACTCTGAAAATAGCCCAGGAAGGAGATGAAGCAGTGGGAGAGCCACTCAGGGAGAGCAAACCGAGACAGGTGGAGACCTGTCCCCACCCGGAATGTGCAGCCAGCTTGGAGGGTCAGGGAGTTCACCTTCTTGGTGCTCCGATTCGGATCCTGGGCTTACCTCACCCCTTTTGCAACCCATGGTCCAAAGAGCTACGCCAGACTGAGGGGCGCCGTGGGTTGTCCATGAAAATCTGAGCGACGGCTCCCACCTGCTGCCGCAAGTTGTTGGCATGAACCAGGGTGGAAGTTTGGACTAATGCCCGTGGGATAGAACAACCAGTCCCACAGAAATAGGCAGAGTTGAAAGCAGGGAAACAGGCCATAAGGCCTGGCAGGC